CATCTATGTCATCGTCGTTCGCCGTCGACCACCCCCCCACCCGTTAGGGACCCCCGTCGACTTCCCCCGCCGGCCACCGTCGATCACCGCTGACCTCCGTCGACCGTCATCAACTGCCGTCAACCACCTTCGATCATCGCCAACCACCGTTGATCGGACGCCATCATACGACTCTGTAATATGAAAATCTAGTAACTCTTACCCGTTTGTGGGACAAGAGACTGCTGTAATTATCAACGTATAATTGATTTTTATAATTAGATCAGACCCCGTGGTTTTTCTATTTACGAGTTTTCCACGTAAAAACTTCTGGTGTCGTCATTGGTTATTTTACTTTCATCTAAGTGTGTGCTGAATCCTCGTGCAACGCTAAGACTATAATCCATTACTCAACCACCGTGAATTTTCTAGCACGCATCAATATGATATCAAAAGTATCATTATTTTAATATTTTTGATATCCCAATTTTAATTTTCAAAAAATGAAATGCATTTTTTTTCTATATAAGTTGATATACATGTGAAATTGAAAGTTTAGGCATCAGATATCTAAATACATAAGAATATTGAGTGGTATGTATGTAAATTTTGTAGAGTTGGGAAAGCTCATGATGGAATTTAGTCCCACATGGTTTAGTTGAAAGAGGCCAACCAATGCAGTTCAGAGGGGGAGGATGATGATTAAATTGTAACTCTCCCAATAAATATTCATATATCAGGCTGGGCAATTGCAAATCTGTTTAATGTGATATGAAGATTCATGAAAATTATATTTATCTCTTAAAAATAAAAATCATAATATGTTTAATGTGATATGAAGATTTATGGGCATAAACATATGTAAAATACATAGGCAACCACTAGTATGTTTGAATGCCCAAAAAAGGGGGGCATGCAAATACATACCAAACAAATTCTTATGTTTTTACATATCTAACAACTAATCTATGTTTTTATATTTATGTCACCCAAATTTTTTATGTCAAATAAAAATATCATTATTTTAATTTTTAAAAAGTGAGTTGTATTTTTCATGCATAAATAAGAAGGCACATAGTATATATATATATATATATATATATATATATATATATAT